AGATCCGGGTCCGAGGCGCTGACCTGGGCAATAGAGGCGCCTGGAGGGTTGTTCTCAGCCACGTGGATCAAATAGAAAGCCTGTTCGAAAACTGGCGCGTTGTCGTTGACATCGATGATGTTCAAGGTGACAGTTCTGTTGGAGGAGAGAGGCGGCTTTCCCCTATCTGTGACTGTGATGGTGATGTTGTATTCTGGAGTCTGTTCTCGATCTAGGGCTCCATCTGTGATCAACTTGTATGTATTTTTTGTATCTTGAACTATTTTAAACGGGAACTTTCCTTTTAGCTGGCAGAAAACTTCCCCATTAAATCCAGAATCTAAGTCATGTGTTTTGATCAGGGCAACAACAGTCCCCAGCTCAGCATCTTCTTGAATATGTTTAGATTCAGAATCCAGGGTTACCTCAGGGGCATTGTCATTTTCATCCAATATATCTATTTGTATTTTACAGTGCGCAGTGTGTCGTCCACCATCCTTTGCTTCCACCCCAATTGTGTAGCTCTCTCTCTCTTCAAAGTCCAGTTCTCCACCAGTGGTGAGTTCCCCTGTTTTACTGTCCAGCTTGAACAGCTGTCTCACTACATTGCCAATGTTGATGAAAGCATATGTGATCTCAGCATTGACCCCCTCGTCCAAGTCAGTGGCCATCACACTTAGTACAGAGGAGCCCACGGGCAGGTTCTCTCGAACACTGGCCCTGTACACATCCTGGGTGAACACTGGTGGGTTATCATTTGCATCTGCCACAACCACCCTTATCTGGGTAGTGCAGCTTCTAGATGGGTCCCCCCCATCCACAGCGGTGAGGACCAGGTGGTGGTAAGACTGCTCTTCCCTGTCCAGGGGAGTCTTCACTACCAGTTCTGGGTACCTACTGCCATCTGGGTTCTCCTTCTGAATCAAAGAGAAGTGCGGGTTTGGGTTGAGGTAGTACTGCTGCAGGGAATTGACACCTACATCTGAATCTTGTGCGGATTCCAGGGAAAAAGTGGCTCCAGTTAGGGCCAGTTCACTGATTTCCAGTTCAGTGATATTTCGGCTAAAGGTCGGTGGGTTGTCATTGACATCCTGAATTACCACACTTATATGAAAGAAGTTCAAAGGCTTTTCAGCGACCATTTCCAATTCTAGGACACACGTTGACTTCTTGCCACAAACCTGCTCTCGGTCTATACGGTCGCTCACAAGTAAGTCCCCGTTCTCAGTACTCACTGTAAAGAATTTCTTCTGTGCACTAATCCGCAGGTTTCGGGTAGGCAAATCTCGCACGCCAAGCCCCAGATCCTTGGCGAGGTTCCCCACCAGTGAGCCCATGGCCAGCTCCTCAGGAATAGTGTAGCTGATCTGCTCCGAGAGCACCGGGCTGAACAAAGACAGCAAAAAGAGAAAGGGCATTCGTCTCCGCCCAGCCGGGCCCTTCTGTCCCAAGCGGTCTCCCATTCCGCTTTCTGCGACTTTGTCTTTCTGATTCCGAAGAGCTACGATCGCTAAATAATCCCAAGAATTCTCTGAGCAGGAGCAACTCCTTGATTTGTCTTGGCAGGCGGATTCTCTGACAGATATCTCGGCGGCAGAAAGAACCGGAGAGAGAGTGCCCAGTTACCGCGGTTCCGCGGTGGGGGGCGATTCCTTTGCGTCGGCAGAAGCTGATACTACGCTCAGTACTAGCCAACAGCGGCACCCCGCGTCTCGGCTGCAAAACTGCAGTAGTGGTTACTAAATGAGCTCCAAATAAGGAGTGGGTTAAAAGAAAATTCTACTGTGTCCTGACAACAGATACTTATTCTTCCGATTTTACAAGGATTTTAACATTTTAAATATTCACTGTATCGTCGATCTGGCGGTCATTTTATTTGAACTTGAACTTTATACATCTATATCAAGTGATTTTTACTCTTCAAAGAGCAGAGGTAACTTGCTTGAAGATGTTGGCATCGTAGTGGTTTTCGTTTCCATTTTCATAAAATGGTCATAATATTTTCTTCCCTGTGTTCCTTAGTAAAACTGAAGACCAAATGAAATGATATGTAGAAAATGACACAAATGAAAGTGGTGGTGGTGATGGCAGAAAGTGTAATATGAAAATTCTTGAAATATCAGCTTGGTATATATGGTTATTCCACTGTTTATTTTCTTCTAACTTATAAACATTACAAATCTCGTAGCTTTTAGTTTTATCCCGTGTTTCACTTCCTTCTATATTATCATTATCACTTTACCCCCAAAATAGATAAGTAAGCAAAGAGATTGGTTGTCCTTATAAAAAAAGTACAGTAAGAAGCAAGAAACTCTCTTTTCCTTAGTTTCCAAGTGTCTACTTTTAAATGACCATGATTTAAAATCTATTCCACTGATCTTATTTTTTCCACACTACATTGCCACTGTCTTTAACTGTACTGTTTCTTCTCAAGCCACTTAGCAATGGTGAGTTATTTGAATTTTGGGGATGAAGTATGAGTCCTTATAATTATATATTCTAAAGAAAGTAATCTATGTTGTCCCCAGGTTACTAACAGATCATCACCCCTTTGACATTCTTCCCATGTCAATTTTCATGTTTCTGATAGGTGTCTTACAGGCTTTTAAAAAAGATTTTATTTATTTGTGAGAGAGAGACAGAGTGCACAAACAGGAGGGCAGTAGGCAGAGGGAGAAGCATGCAGGACCTGGGATCATGACCAGAGCTGAAGGCAGATGCTTAACCAACTGAGCCACCCAGGTGTCCCAGTGACTTAAAGTTTTAATTCCATTTCCAAACTAGAAATCTTCATAAAGAAACTTTTTTTAACCTATACAATACATTGTGATTCTAAAACTTAGCAGGTGTGTAGCAATGTTGAACCCATAGTGTAATAGTATTAGACATCTTAAACTACTCATTGTATTTAGGATTCTAGAAAGAAACTCACTGACATCTTTACTTCATACAAACATAAAAAACATAGACTTAAGACTTCTCTCCAACACATGACTGAACAAGTGCTTTTCCAACATGGTGTGAACACTTAAATTAGTACAGGAGAGTTATCTTTTCAGAGCACATATGAAACTAAAGATTCAAATACTTAAATGATTATACAGTATATATAGTATATACACTCAGAGTGTCATATCAAGCATTTTATTACATAAAGTCTATTGAAGTTTATAGAGGTTTAAGAGGTATTTTCCATTGCATGAAAAAATTAACTTGGGAAATATATCCAAAATGTATAACCTTTTCTTTAAAATGTAATGAAAAAATGATATTTGTTATAAAATATAATGGAAAAGTGAGTTTTCAAGTAGGAGGGAATGTTATCAGTCTCCATCATACAGATTCTCATTACTCTTTGCATGCATTCACTATTCAGTGAATCTGCACAATTTAAACTGTAATCAGAATTATCTGTATATAAATATACTTGGATCCCCTTCAATATACAAATATTGGATCCCCTTGAAGTAATTATTTAAAAAACAAAAACCAAGTGCTCATAGGTTCCCACATGTAACAATAAACCATTTTTTTGGTCAGGTAATGTAGCCTACCATCCCATCATAGTATTTTATTGCTATTTCTCCCAGTTAGTCATACTTTGCAGCTGATGAAGTTGTTGAAAGTACAATATTTGAAAGATTGAAAATCTTAAGGAGAAGCATCTGAAATCATCTTTAGTAAATCAGATGCGAAAAACAAAGAGGGCAGTTAAGATTTATTTATTTATTTTTAGAGAGAACGAGCTTGTGGGGGTGGGGATGTGAGGGGCAGAGGGACAGGGACAGAAATCTCAAGCAGACTCCCCACTGAGCCAGGAGACCCATGCGGGACTCCATCCCACGACCCCAAGGACCATGACCTGAGCCCAAATCAAGAGTCCCACACTTAACTGACTGAGCCACCTGGGTGCCCCAAATAAAGAACACTGATTTCTTATCTCCACATATATGCATGTCTAGTAATTACATAGGTTAGCCCAAAGTTCCCAGACTTGAGAATGTCACAGACTATAAATTTAATCTGTTTTTCTGATTTTTATCATGTAGAAGTTTTCTATATTCTTCCACTGATTCATTAAAATACTGTAAATTATTTCCTTATGCAAACAGCAGGTATACTAAAATATCAGTGCTGCATACCATCCTTTCCAAAACATATTCACCATTGGTGTTTACACAAATATCCAAAATAGAACATTATATCTCAAACAACTTGGACTAATCAAACAACTCTTCCATTAACATAGTAACAGTTCTAGTATAAGATAGTCTTTGGGTAAAGTGATTATGTTTAACTACTTTCTTTTAAGCCTATGGATATCAGCTAGATTGTCTAAAAATTTCACGTATTGAAAAAAGAAGACATTAAACACAAAATATAACTTGAGAACAAATGGAGACAGCATCATCCAATTAAATCAAGTTAATCTCTAAATGAAACATACAAAGATTCAGTATTTACATGATTAACCAATTTTGAATGTGGCAGAGAAATGATTAAGGAAACAAATGAAAAAAGCTACAAGCAACCATACTGAAAAAGAAATCTCACCTGAACAACTCCTAGTTCTTCATTTATATTTATCTTCTCATATATCAGAAGAGGCTCGCTTTTCCCACAGCTCTCCTGGCTGATGAGCGTGTCCG